GATCGCTCACCATGGGCTCCCTGTTCAGAAAATAACGTTGGCCAATCAAAAATCCAAGATCGCCGCCCTTTTTCAAGATGGCCGCCGCTGGTTATACAAAAATATATAATCTTTTTCTTTTTACTATCATTTTAGGCAGATGTTTTTCATCCAGATGTCTAATTCCACTTTAGTTGCAGAACCATGTTTTAATGAAAAAAAGACAAATAATAAATTATATGGGTAGTTTTATCTGAATATGGTAAAATCAAATTATAATTTTTTGACTCTTGTCTATATTAAATGTTTGTGGTCCCTAAAGATTTAGATGTTAAAGGATCAAAACTGGTACGTGTACTCAACAAAGATTTATCTTAAAAAAAACAGCATTGGCCACTCAACAATCTAAGATGGCCACCATTTTTCAAATGTCTGCCACTGATCATACACAATTTTTGGTTTCCTTGAGATTTTCTTTGCAGGCTTTCATCACTCTGATATTTATACTTAAATGGCTTTTAAAGAGCTATACTTTAAGGAAATTGGTGAAAATGTTGCAGTACTATAATAATTATTCAAACATGAAAACATTGCAGTAATATAATACATATTTAGATAATATAATAAATATAGGATCAAGATAATATATTAAATATTCATGTTTGCTTATCTCTTGTTCGTATTACTGTTAACAATTCTTACACATTTAGTCTTCAAGAAATACTGTGGCACATATCATTACCAAGTTAACAGATTTTTTTAAATGTTTTATCAAATATATAATACTGAAAAAAATAGAAAAAGAAACGCATAGCCAGTATTTTTCCATGTAATGTTTCAAAAACGAATCATAAGTGTGTGTCTAATCAGTATGTCTATGAATAGGACTGCACGGTATTACCGGTATATCGCAATATGCTTTTCAAACAATTGCAATATTTTTTATGAGAATCCTCATATTGGGTAAAGAGCATATATGAAGTTTTTGTGATTATCTTGATTTAAATTAAAATCTACACAGACATTCATTTACAACAAATGTTGCCTTCGTTATTCAATGACAAAACGGCATACTGTAATACTATAAATTGTATAAAAAAAGAAAATATAATTCCTGACTAAGCAACCTAATTTTGAGAATCAAAATCATGACATGTATTTTTAGGAACTTATAATGTAGAAACTAGGATTGACGAGTTCCCAATGTATCGCCATACGTATGGCAATACGGGTACCTGAATCGTAATATAATACAATTTATTTGCCAGTACACAGCCCTATTGGTGAACGTTCCCTCCAACCATTTCCGAGTTTGAATCAATTGCCATTGAAAACCTGTCGCCAAAACGCAACCGAATCTGTGTTTTTTTTCTCAATAAAGATAATAAAGAACGAATGTGATGCGATTCATGCACTTCCCTCTGCACGTACAATCCGTGCAACATTTACAATAGAAACCAGCGGGGTCTGATTGTTTTAGCGGCAACTGATACACGTAAATCTTGATGAGAAGTCATGCCTAGACTTACCTAGACTCAGCACAATAATGCGATCGGTCATTTGGAAGCTGGTGAGTCGTAGTCAACGGTTAGGCACTTTTATGTGTCTAAGAGTACCATAGGAAGGCTTTGGCATCAGCACCAGCAGTATGGAAGGACACTTGATCGTCCTCGGTCAGGATGATCCTGGGTGACCACATCCGCCCAGGACAGGTTTATTCTTCGACACTTACGGAACAGGTTGACGACCACATCCTCAACAACATGTGTAGTTCCAGGACTCCGAACAATCTCGGACCAAACTGTCAGAAACCGCCTTCGTTTGGATGATATTCGTCCAAGGAGGCCTTTGCGAGGACCTATCCTTACACGACATCATCGGCAGCAACGTAGACAATGGTGTCGAAACCATCTCCAGTGACCACTACAAAGTGGAGAACTGTCGTGTTCAGTGATGAGTCGTGGGCTGGTATATTCTCAGCATGTGTGTACAGATGGCGTCATGAACGGTTTGCTCCCAATTGCGCACGGGAAGTGGACAGATTCGGTGGCGAGAGTGTTATGGTTTGGGCAGGCAATGGAAGACCCGATGTTATTCACGTCCAAAGCAATCTTACAGCTCCACGTTACTGTTCCATAAAATCATCAGGCCTCATGTCATTCCATTCATGAACTGTCAGAACGTCATTTTCCAACATGGCAATGCTCGACCGCATACAGCAAGATTCAGCACAACGGCCCATCGATATATATTGAGGGAAAGGAGTTCGAGGCGGGTGTAGGTCGTCGATGATTTTGTTAGACTTATGTTCCGGATTTTGTTAGAATTGTATTCCGGATTTTGTTAAAACTTTGCTCATTTGTGAAAGGAGGAATCGTCCAAATTAATTAATTGTTCATAGACATAACAAGGATATACTTTTTTGACCAAACTAAACCCTCCTTCCAAAACCCAGTCTCAATTCCAATATCCGGCCCCACACACAACACATACCCATCCGCGGGTGAAATAGTAATTTGTGTGAACGACTTCTAAAGCAACGACCATGAAGATGATGATGATGATGATGATGATGATGATGATGATGATGACTTTCTTTTAAATTAAAGTATTTTACTTCCCATTTTCATGTATAACAAAATATAGATATACAGTAACATATATAACAACAGATAAAAGTGTTTGTGGAGCATGGTAGCCTGGCATTTATTAAGTAAAGTTTTTAATCACGATGTACAAGTAGCACTAGGTACATACAACATGATAATGTACAACAGATGGCACATAAAATTGTTATACAAATTATACTATGTTTTAATTATTCTTTTGACTTGCAGTGATGTACAGAGAATACCAATAGCTGTGTAGAGTATTTGCCAATTTCAGCAAATAAAGAGATTTTTGGGATAATTAACCCCTGGGGAAAATTTGTCAAGTCTCAGCAAACAAAATATGACAAGACGACCAGATATTGAAGAAACTTGAGAATTGACAATTCTGAATTTTGTTATCTTTGTTGCCTCATAATAGTTAATTATCTCTCTCTTAACATGTTTAAAGTTTGATTGTCTTTTTACTGCATTAATAGATACTTTGTTTGGCAATGATACTGATCACATTCAATGGATTGTTGTGTTTCCCTTCAAATTCAAAAATAATGTTTTTACCTGTAAAACAAATTCTTCCTGCAGCTACAGTATTTAACCAATCCGAGAAGTGACTCCATAATCATGTTGCATGTTCACATTCACATAACAAATGAATAACTCTTTCAGGTTCAGCTTCACAGAATGTACACAATGGTGAGTCTACATATCTAGTCATATGTAAATGTGTGTGTGTAAAAAGAATGTTATGTATAAGTTTGAACTGAAACTACTTCAAGTTAACACTCTGTGTGCATCGTTTCAATATCAGATAGATTCCTTCTTGTTCAGATTCAGTATATTCTTTATCAAACTCTTTTCCCATTTGCATTGTCCAGAAGATTTGGAAGAGTTTGTGCTTAATAAAGATTGATAGAAATGTTTACTGCCTTGTTCATTTCCAAGTTTCAGATAATTGAAAAGAAGAAAAGCACATTTAACTTTTTTGGGTTGTGTTTTTTCTGTTTTTTAATAAAATTATGAATTGATGAGCGCAAGCCCTGATATTTTTAAAAATCTATTGACATATCATATTTGTCTTGAAATTCATCAAAATTATAGAGCTTGTCATCGTCCATAAAGTCATTTATAAAGATGATTCCTCTTTCAAACAATTCTAAATAACATACAGGTTTTCCACCAATTTTTATGTTCTCATTCCACCAGACGGATTGACAGAGTATCTCAGAAGAACATACAATATTTCCTAAATGGGTTTTAAAGAGACATACTTTAAGGAAATTGGTGAAAATGTTGCAGTACTATAATAATTATTCAAACATGAAAACATTGCAGTAATATAATACATATTTAGATAATATAATAAATATATGATCAAGATAATATATTAAATATTCATGTTTGCTTATCTCTTGTTCGTATTACTGTTAACAATTCTTACACATTTAGTCTTCAAGAAATATTGTGGCACATAACATAACGCAGTTAACAGATTTTTAAAAATGTTTAATCAAATATATAATACTGAAAAAATAGAAAAAGAAACGCATAGCCAGTATTTTTCCATGTAATGTTTCAAAAATGAATCATAAGTGTGTGTCTAATCAGTATGTCTATGAATAGGACTGCACGGTATTACCGGTATATCGCAATACGCTTTTCAAACAATTGCAATATTTTTTATGAGAATCCTTATATTGGGTAAAGAACATATATGAAGTTTTTTGTGATTATCTTTATTTAAATTAAAATCTACACAGACATTCATTTACAACAAATGTTGCCTTCGTTATTCAATGACAAAACGGCATGCTGTAATACTATAAATTGTATAAAAAAGAAAATATAATTCCTGACTATGCAACCTAATTTTGAGAATTAAAATCATGACATATATGTTTAGGGACTTATAATGTAGAAAATAGGATTGACGAGTTCCCAATATATCGCAATACGTATGGCAATATGGGTACCTGAATCGCAATATAATACAATTTATTTGCCTATACACAGCCCTAATGGTGAACGTTCCCTCCAACCATTTCCGAGTTTGAATCAATTGCCATTGAAAACCTGTCGCCAAAACGCAACCGAATCTGTTTTTTTTCTCAATAAAGATAATAAAGAATGAATGTGATGCGATTCATGCACTTCCCTCTGCATGCACAATCCGTGCAACATTTACAATAGAAACCAGCGGGGTCTGATTGTTTTAGCGGCAACTGACACACGTAAATCTTGATGAGAAGTCATGCCTAGACTTACCGAGACTCAGCACAATAATGCGATCGGTCATTTGGAAGCTGGTGAGTCGTAGTCAACGGTCAGGCACTTTTATGTGTCTAAGAGTACCATAGGAAGGCTTTGGCATCAGCACCAGCAGTATGGAACGACACTTGATCGTCCTCGGTCAGGATGATCCTGGGTGACCACATCCGCCCAGGACAGGTTTATTCTTCGACACTTACGGAACAGGTTGACGACCGCATCCTCAACAACATCTGTAGTTCCAGGACTCCGAACAATCTCGGACCAAACTGTCAGAAACCGCCTTCGTTTGGCTGATATTCGTCCAAGGAGGCCTTTGCGAGGACCTATCCTTACACGACATCATCGGCAACAACGTAGACAGTGGTGTCGAAACCATCTCCAGTGACCACTACAAAGTGGAGAACTGTCGTGTTCAGTGATGAGTCGTGGGCTGGTATATGCTCAGCCTGACGGAAGAGCATGAGTGTACAGATGGCGTCATGAACGGTTTGCTCCCAATTGCGTACGGGAAGTGGACAGATTCGGTGGCGAGAGTGTTATGGTTTGGGCAGGCAATGGAAGACCCGATGTTATTCACGTCCAAAGCAATCTTACAGCTCGACGTTACTGTTCCATAAAATCATCAGGCCTCATGTCATTCCATTCATGAACTGTCAGAACGTCATTTTCCAACATGACAATGCTCGACCGCATACAGGAAGATTCAGCACAACGTTCAGGTTCTTGCATGACCCTCCGATCACCAGATCTGAACCCAACTGAACATTTGTGGAACGAACTGGATCGACGTGCGAGACAGTGTGATCCTCAGCTGCAGACCCTAGCTGCTTTGTTTCTGATTTTGCACGAAGAATATCTGGTCATCCCTAGACAGTTCATCCGGAATCTGATCCAATCTATAGGACGCCAATGCCAGGCAACCATTGTTGCTAATGGCGTTCACATAAGATACTGACTGCTCTGTGACTTTGACCTTTCTGCACATGTCATTTGATACGTCCCACCTCTACTTCCACTGGACAATACATGTTCAACAATGTTTTCTCTATCACTGTCCTGTACCACTTAAACTTACATGCTTAAATATATGATTATTTTCAGCTATGCGTTTCTTTTTTTAGTAGTATAGATTCAAAATTAGATAACATTGGACCCAAACAAACTTTATGATTTTTTTGTTTTGTTTTTTTCATAGTTACCAAACTTGATGTAAAATAAATGAATAAATGGTATAAACAATATGTTTTCCGAAAATATATTGAAATATTGATATCTTATCTCCTGGTAAGTAAAATTGTTGACTTATGTTAAAATCAGATTTTAGTAAACAAAAACAAATTGTGTTATACAAATTCTAAGAAATATGTGATGAAATTTAAAGTACATCATAGCTGCATCAAGCATAGCCTATTCCAAAGTCACCCTGCTTAAACTTTTCTGAAAAGTGAGAAGCGTAAGTCGCAAAGCCCTCAATTCCACTATTTTAATCTGGTACTGGACATGGAACTCTTGATCTTAACGCTGATCAGATCATTTACAGAGGCAACTATAAATGAAACAAATGAGCCAGGTAAACAGTTACAATATAGATGATTTTGATGTCTATACTTCCTTACAATAATTTTGTTCTTTGGAAAGCTATAAAAACTATCATTGAACATTCATTGTCTTCTAAATCATGTTCTTGTATTAAGTGATCATATGACATTTGTTTATAATATAATATGGCGGCCATCTTGGATTTCCTTCAGCAACATTAATATGTTTTCTAGCCTATTACATCATCCAATCTAGAGATGTTATGATGAAAGTCAAATATGGAGACTTCTTTTGATTCTGTCTTGTTTTGAGTTCAAAATGCAAGAAATATTTTTAAAACTTTGCTTTTTTGGAAAATTGGCGGCCATCTTGGATTTTGGAAGCAATCATATTTTGCAACATAGCATAAACAATATCTTAATTAACACATTGGGACACAAATACGTTGAAAATCTCAGAGAAATTATGTTTTTAGGAGCTGAAACAAAGATAGTGTAATATAAATGGCGGCCATCTTGGAATTTTGAGTGGCCAACGTTATTTTTTGAGTAAGTGTCCCAAAGTGAACATGAATGCAAATTTTGTTGCTTGTAGCACAAAGTGAACGATTTTTCCATTATCTGCCCTACTATACACACAGGATGAAGATATAAAGTGATGCTGGGTCACCCTGGCGACAGCCTCTTGATATTGGAAAAAATGATCTCCCATAGCCATTTACACTGGATTATATACCCTCAAAAAGTAGTGTAATCCATTTTTTGAATACTCTGGCCAAAATTGAAAAACCTCAGGACATTTTGCATAAAGTGTCTATCCACTGAATCCTATGATGATGATGATACATATTATAATCATTTATGGTTATAAACTTCACAAATGGTCGGCCACATTTCAACGGGAATGCAGTGATGAGCTCTGTTATACCTGAGGAAGGCTTATGTGTAGAAGGACACACCTTCTCAACTATCTACCACCTCGGTCTCACGAACCATTCTCGTCTCAAATCTGAACATCCCAAGATTAACAGGCTGAACTATCCCGTCTCAAATCATGATCATGCAAATATCACGACACGAATTGACAAGACCTCGTGGCATTATGGCCTGTTGGATGACGTCATATACAATTATTGTTAAGGATTCAACGCCCTGAGAACTATTGCTGCAAGACAGAAATTGAGAACGCCGCAAGGCACTAGGACCTGTTGGACTACATCGAGGACAGTCATGGTCACTATGTTTAAAATCTTCTGGGTGACATCACAGACAGACGTTGACAAAGACAACGCATCACGACCTTTCAACGACACCTTAGATATCCATTGACAAAGACAACGCATAGGCTCTGTGAAAACTTCGAAGAAAACCGCTAGCAAGAATACCCCGCATTAAGAACAGTTTGTCGACATCGCAGACACCCACCAAATGCAACTAACATTAATTCTATTTAGTGACTAGCAACCACCATTTTGACATAATAATAGATTGCAATCTTGGGATGAAGTAAATCCCAAATTTAAAAGTGACAATTATCTGGTTAATGGCAGTCCCAGCATATTCAGTCCAAGTAATCATTTGCCCACTATTCGTTTATATCGTAAACCCAGATAGGGGGAGGGAAGTGTGTGTGTGTGGGGTGTGTGTGGTGGTGGTGGTGGGGGTTTAAAGCGTCCATTCGTCACGCCGAAGACCCGGGTTGATTCCAGATACAATGTGCGAAACCCATTTAATAATAATAATAATAATAATAACTTTTTATTTGGCGCTAAATCCCCCGCCGTGTTATTGTTTGGTTATTGCTAAAAGGCGGAACTCACTCACTCACTCACTCACTCACCAACCCACCAACTCACTCACTCACTCCTGATTGTATAACGTACATCAACAGGGATGATGTTAGCCTTCGTGATCCAGATACAATGTCACCCTTTGATATAAGAACGAATGTGTCTCATTTTGCTGTCATCGGTGTTGACAGTAATAAGGTTTTCATTTAAATTGTCATCTGTTTCTCAAGCTAGGCGTGTGTTATAATGAATATTGAATAATTCGATCTCTGGTGTCTTCATTAAAGTGACAGTGCGCAGTTAAAGAAATGTCACAGTTCACATTTTACAGAAATGTGTCAGACTGATTCATCAAGTATTGTTGGACGAGGTCGTAAATAAACCATGGTCAGGATCATAACAAAACTTTTCGGCGATATCACTGGTTCAGTTTCCATAAATTGTCCTATATTACAATAAAGAGGACACCAGGGATAGAATTGGCCAATCATCAGTACATACACCTAGCTTGATAAGATGATACCTAATATAGGTCATATGCTGGTCTACTCATCACGTCAGTGACGGTATAATGGAGCGATATGCGATCTACCTGATCATATTCTTCTTATAAGGATATTAATAAAATGTGATAAATCTCTCCTACAAACCTTCCCTCTTCCCGGGCGATGGGGTAGTCTAGTGGTTAAAGCGTTCGCTCGTCACGCCGAAGATCCGGGTTCGATTCCCACATGGGTACAATGTGTGAAGCCCATTTCTGGTGTCCCCTGCCGTGATATTGCTGGAATATTGGTAAAAGCGGCGTAAAACCAAACTCACTCACTCACTTCCCTATTCCCATCTCAGTCCCCTCACCCAGTATCCCCCCTGGATGGTAAAAAGACAGATTGCCTGCTCATATACTATTCACACTTTGCTAAGGATCAAATCATTGATTCAACAGAAAACTATGATGTGGGGTCAAATTTGGTTTAAATATCTAGGCCTATTGTAAGCATGGATCCAAGTTTTCAGTATGTCACTGCATCTTGTGGATCCCATACCTGCTATTGACAGGCGTTGTGTACTTGTCAATGACCCGTGCCATGATTTGCAAAATGGTTGTTTGGTGTTTTTTTATGGTTACTCATGCATCAAGTGCAGACAGTTAGCTTAAAGTGGCTGTTTTCCTAAAGATGTGTTACCATATCATTATTTATCCAGTTTTAAATGGATACAATTTCAAATTATAAATCTACGTTTAAGTAAAGTTGCGAATTTTTGTGATCCTTAGGAAAGTGTGAGCAGTATATAAGCTAATGCGTACACGCGTAGACGCACGCAGGCACCACTGGCGAAAACGCATACGCGTAGACAAACACATACATTCACACACACATGCGCACGAAAAGAAACACACATGCATACACACACACGCACGCACACGGAAACAAACACACACATACATACATACACAAACACATATACACAATCTCTCTCTCACACACACACAAACACACACAACACACACACACACACACACACACACACACACACACACACACAAATGTACACGCTATTACAGACACAGTCACCAAGCACACGCACATTACTAAACCCACTTATCCATAAATCACAGGTCATTGCCCTCTGTTGTGTTCATCAGGTTACAGACATCTAGACGTTCTCTGATTACTACTATAGAAGTCAAACAGTAATTGTAGTCTCAGTCCATTCCGTGTGCATTAGACAGGGACCTTTTAAAAAAAGAAGACCCAGACACATATACGTTCGGCTTCAGCATCAACTGGCATTGTATACAGTGGGACATCAAAAGATGTTGCCATAAAAAGGTAAGGCATACTCCTCCTCATTGGGCTGGAATTTACCCAATCATTGGCGAGAAAAGGTCTTGGTCACATATATTTTGAGGTTTTTTTAAATTGATTCCCTATATAATG